TATGTTCATTTATCAGCTGGTGATCTTCTTCGAGAAGAAGCAGCAAAACCTGACTCAGCTTTAGGTCACGAAATCAATGAACATATCAAGAACGGTTCTATTGTACCTGTTGCAGTGACTTGCAAATTACTTGAAAATGTAAATTAATTATTATTTTTCACTATTTGTGACAAAATGCAATTCTTTTTCTATTTTTGTAAAGGCTATGGAAAAAAGTGGAAAAGAAAATTTTTTAATTGATGGCTTTCCACGTAATAAAGATAATGTTGAAGGATGGAAAAAAGCTATGGATGGAAAAGTTAATGTTCAATGTGTACTCTTTTTTGATTGTGATGAAAAGGTTAATACTATTATTCGTTGTTTTGTTTTTCATCTTTATTAGATCGTTTTTTTTTGTTTTACGTATAGACTTGTGTTGCTCGATGTCTCGAACGTGGTAAAGGGAGTGGACGAACTGATGATAATGAAGAAAGTTTAAAGAAACGGTAAAAACTTTTAAAAATTTATTTATGAATTTTTTATTTTGTTTTGTTTATCTTAGTATTGTGACATATAATGATTCAACACGACCGGTAATTCAACTATATGAAAAAGAAAATTTAGTTAAACATATTGATGCTTCACATGATGTTGACAAGGTTTGATTTATAAAACAATGAAAATATAAAATAACTATTTCTATTTAATGTTAGGTCTTTGAAGATGTTCAACAAGTTTTTAATAATCTTAAATCGACAGCTCACTGATAAACAGTTACATAATCGAACGTTACTGCTTGCCTTATCCTCTCTAATTTTTATGATATGACCTACAATCTCACCCAATTGAAGTTTTATTTCGTGTGTTATGCACTTTTATCTTGATGTTTGATTATATTTTATCTAGTTGAATATAGTTCTATTTAGAAAAAAAATATAAAAATATTCATAACTTTTTTTCTCTAGATTAACTTTGTTTTTCTTTTATGTTGTTAATGCTATGATATGGTAGATTAAGGATTTTTTTTTCTTTGATTAGTATTCATGTATATATATATATATATTTAACTAGAAATTGGGAGGGTTTTTAAAACATGGATTTAAAGGTGCTATTCTTGCTCTTCCATTTTTTACTACTTTTATGGATAAAATAGCGACAATATCACTTGTTGATGGTACTTCAATGCAGGTAGATTATGTTTATTATGATCGGCTATTAATTTATTTGCTATAGCCTCTTTTGAATCCGACTGGTTTACATAGTGATTGGGTTTTAATAAAACGATGGCATATGGATGACTATTTTTTACAAAAAGATGATATTATATCATTTGAGTATGTTTTTTCTTCGTGACTTTTTCCATTTCGATGAATTGTGTTTAATATTAAAATTTTGTAAGATCTCCTCGCGAACCAGGTATATATATGATCAAACGTGTAAAAGCATTAGAGAATGAAATGATTTAGTAAGAGAGTAATTTTTGAAGTAATGTGTTTTTTTTTTTGTTTATTAGCATCTATTTTTTTTAAGTGATACAATAAAACAAAAAGAAACACAAGTGTCAAAAGGACATGTATGGGTTGAAGGTGACAATAAACGTGCAAGTTATGATAGTCGTCATTTTGGTTGTGTAAGTCAAAATGATAATTCATAGAATCAAAGATATATTTATTCTATTTTCAGATTGCTCGAGGCTTAATAACTGGACGAGCGTTGTATGTTATTTGGCCACCAAAACGTTTTGGTACTAAGTTAACACCATTCAACGATGATGATGACTAAATCTATTTTTATTGTAGTCAATATCATAACTTATTTCTGTTTTGTATGTGTTGATCGATAATTGTTTTTCACACGAAGATATTTTGAAAAAAATAATAACCATATTGTTTGTTTTAATATATAACAATTGTTAGATAGTTGTATATTTTTCTATTATTGAAACAGAACAATGAAAACAAGAGAACACAAAACATAATTCTTTAGGACTGCTATTAATTACTAGTATCACCAGATTGCTGCTCAATCCATCCACAAAAGACTTTGAACCTTCAATACAACTGGCCGAGGTCGATTTAACACTGGACTTGATCCTCGCTTAGAAGTATTATCAGAAAGTCTTCATCTTCTTCGTAGTCATGACCAGAAAAGCTAGCGACAGAATTTTCTTAGTTGCCTCCTTCATTTCTCAATGGTCCTTCATCTATAGATACTGCATATATGTCTATTTCTAGAGCCTTCAGATTTTTGAAGAACTTCGAAACTTTGCGCTTATTGAGGATTTAACTAGAATATTTTTTATAAAAAGAAATTACATATTATATATACTATCCTAAAAAAGATCTATATCTTGAAGGAACTTTGTTTAAAACTTCTGAATTGTTCTATGAAAGATAATCTATTCAAGTTTTTTTATACACAAACTTTCATAACAAACTTTAAATATGCGAATCGTCCGAAAATATGAGGTTTTACAGAGACTTCTAGAAAATAAACATATTAAAAATTCGATAGCTTAGTGAAATGTCAATATGAACTCTAATTCTTTTAGGTTTTTAATTAGAACACTGTGTAATATCTATAGACAAAAAGCATTGAAATCGAAAGAAGGCAGTTGAAAGCATTCTTTCGTGAGGCCGTACAACATTCTTTGATTACAACACTACTACGAATAATTCATGTTGAACATTATTAAATGATATACATATTTAAATATGATAATTTACAAACGACAAACTAAAATCTTTTCTAACTTTAGATAAATGCAACGCCCAGTTCGTAGCTATCGTGGTGGTAGTCGTGTTGGTCCTCATTTGACGCATAGTCATAATGTTAACGAAAATGATGATAACAATCATAATCGATCATCTCTATCAAATTCAAATTTAGGTGAAATAGAAGATGATAATAACGACACTCATACAACGATAAAAACGAAAAATTCTTCTATATTATCATCAATTGCAATTAATGCTGATTTTGAATCAGTTATTCGAAGTCTTCAGCCATTAGCAATACGTCAAAAAAAGACAAAAAATAATTTAAATATCAATAGTCAAAAAGCTGATTTACCCCAAGTAAATATTATAAATGATACGATTCATACTATTGATGAACAAACAAAAGATAAACAAACACAACATTGGTTTCCAAAACCTGATATTGGTCATGTTAAATCGAATGATTTCATTCGTCATAATCATATTGGTAAATTCATAAATTATTTTTATGAATAATAAATAAATAATTTATTTTTCTTTTCAAGAATCTCAACAAAAATGTAAACAACTTACTCCACCAGCTTTATTAACAGCAATTCCTCCTGCTGATATATCAACACGTCCAACACCAATTATTGCTCAAGCTGCTCCAACTCGATCAATATCAACATATTTCTTATCAAACTCATCAATAGAAAAAGTAAATAATAAGATTGTTGATGATTGTCAAACTAGTTCCATGTTAAAATCAAATCAACAATCAACAACATCATTGTTAAAGCAAACATCATCATCGGCATTTCAACCAATTAGTTCTATACAAAACTTATCATCGAATACAATTAATCAACAAAAAAAAACTAAATCTCAACCTGTTCTAATCGATATACCAAAACATAAAGCATTAGAATGTGGACAAAAATTAACGAAAGTTCATATATCTCATCCGCAAAGTCCATCAATTGTTTATGTAAATTAAATGTTCCTTTGCTATCTTAAAAATAATATATATTTTCTTATAGCTTATGTTACATGAAGACTTTAATAGAGCTTGTCGTCTTCTTCATACAATGTCGATACATCCAGAGCTTCAATTAGATTATATTCCAAGTCATCCATTTAAGTATGTATTGTCTTCTAGCTATTGTTTTTGTTACATTTTTAAATAATTACCATTAAAAATAGACCAGAAATAAATAAGATATGTGCATGCTTTCATGAGGGTCGTTGGTTTCGTTGTCGTATTTTACAAATTTCAACAGATTTATCAACAGCAACTGTTATCTATTTGGATTGGGGCATGGTAATTCCTGTACAAATCAAACCAACATCTATTCGCCGTCTACCAAATGAATTTTATATTGAAGCGGTTTGTTCTGTAATGTGTCATCTTGATGGTGTATCAAATGTAAACGATTCAATACCATCTAGTATTATAGCTCAATGTATTAATCTACTAAGTGAAAATGAATATGATGTTATTGTTAATGATTATAATATTGTAACTGGTGGTAAAATTATCCTTTCATATAATGGACAAGTTATTAATGATCAAATACAAAAATTAATTTTACCTTATGTAAGTTCTTTCAAGGTTTCTACGCCTCAAAAGATGATCGTTAGATCAGGTACATTCAAGTTATATGAAATCTTCAGTCCTATACCATAAAATTGTCGGAAGATACTTAATAAACAATGGTCAAAAAGAGCTCATTTGACAACGTGAAATTCTCTGTGAGTCTTCACTCTATATACTTAATTGGTTTTTATTTTCAAAGAGCATATTAGGATGGAGAACGTGACAGCCCTTTTTACAAATTCTTATTTTTTAATGAGGAAAAACAGGGTGAAAAGTTCAATATCTTGAAAAACTCTCGACATACAGTCCTCGAATTATCAGACTATTCTTTAATATAATAGTAACAAAACTTAATTTAAAAAAAAGACCTCCGTCATGCCCTACATCTTGACATGTTCGTTCAAACAAAAAAACCTATTGGCTACGATAAAGCACCTTCGAGAATGTTCGGATACGTGATAACAAAACTATAAACAAACAAAAAGGAAAAAGGTTTCTTGCTTCTTCTGAAAATAGCATATTGTGGAACTGACATATATTTTAGAAGCAAATTATGAGTGTAAGTTTTAAGTCGAAATTTTGTGGCTTCTTTCTCCTACTTCATTGCATATCTTAGGAAGCGAAGTTAAATACATCAACTTCAGGTGTAAAGCAGTCATTTAAATGCTGCTATAACACGTAGTTACGCAGGAATACAAAAAAGAGATTTGCATAGTGAACAACACTGATTGAAATTTTAAGATCAAGAAAGGAAGCAAGCGAAGGAAGGAGGAGTATAGAATTAAGTGGAGTCACCCTCTGTTTCTTTTGCCCATTTCTAGTTCTTGAAAAGGGTACAACAGATCTGTATGAAATTTTGACCGAAGATAGAGCCCTCTAAAGTAAGAGGATAATACGTAGTCGAAGAAGAAATCTTAAGCAAGGTTTTCGTGATTTGTTTTCAGGAAAATTCTGATTTTCATAGGACTGCATTGAGCTCATCAACGACTTCCATCTCCTAAATTTGTGCGATCGAACTGAAATTTAGACTACAGGAAATTGGAAATATTGTTTAGAAGTAACATTAGTCGTTTTCATTGTCAACCTTTCCATTCAGATTTATAGAACCCTGAACACTACCATCCCGGTTTTAAATCTGAATCTATACGTATTTCTTTCAGAAAAAAAGAAATCTTGATTTCTGAAAAATTTAAAATTACCTCTCTGAATCAGTGTAAGATATTACAAAAGCAATTCTCAGTCTAATTGATCAAAATTAGATGGAAACCTTACGCCGGCCAGATATGCCCCGATAGGGTGTGAGTGTGAGTGGGTGAGGGTGTGGGAGTCATTGAAAAGAAGACCCACACCCACACCCACACCCATCCACATCCACACCCACACCCTCAAGATCAAACCTGATTTGAATCATTTGGAGCAACAATATGCACAATGAATTGTAAAATATGCTGTATTGAACGACAAAAAGTTTGTTTACTTTTTGAAGAACGACCATTATAAAAAATGTAACGGGAATTTCATATTTATAGTTCATACTTCTCAGAAAGTTCTTCAGAACTTCTTGATCATCACAAGCTGCTCCACTGTAAATCGTTGGACTATAACTTGGTGTGCTTAATTTAGATGAGATTGTTGTTGGTGTATGAACGACATCCAAATCATATAACCATTCAAATAATCGATCACACTGTTGTCTTATTTCATTCTTTATGTAATTGTTTTCCTCGTTGTCTAAAGCTTTCCTACATGAGGTGCACATTAGTTTACCGAAAAATGACTTCTTATCTTTTTTTCAAATAGCAAATGCATGTAATTTGTCGATGACACGAAGATCACCTTTGTTGCTATTCCGACGAAAAAAAATCGGTTTAAAGATTGAGCAAGATTTGATAATCTGGTTGTCTATTAACTTAACATGATTTTCATACATGCAATAATTATAAATATTAATCAGACCAATGTCGTAACATCCATGTTGTAGTAATAAGTATTCCATTTTAGAGTTCACTGCTTTCAACGATGGAAAATCTGATCTATTTTCACACACATCACGACATTCGATTTCGTTTCCGCCACATTCACTGAAACTTTCTGTGAGACCAACCGAAGTTGAGAGATAATCTTGATGACAAGTTTCTTGGTTGAATAAACATCTCGATCTGCTAGCCATAATAACGTTGATAAGCAATACGAAATTGATCACACGAATGGTAAAAACTAACTTGTTTTCTTTTACTGGTATAGAGAAAAAAGAAGGCACACAGTTGATCCAAAAGAAAAGTTTTTTTTTTATCATTCTTTTTTTCTTTGTTCTTATAATGCACAATGCGGACACCATTCATTTAGACACAGAAACAAAAGGATTTCATCAGATAGAAACAATCCATGATTTTGTTACATTAAGATTATGTATTGCAACTAGAAGCTTCTCTCTCTTTTTGATGATATAACGACGATACACAGAGCACTTACACCCCTAACTATTTATTTCATTTACTCTCTCCATATGGATAAACGTAATATGTTTATAAAGGAACAATTCACAATGATAATAGAAGAAGACATATCATAGAAAGAATATAGAAGGAGGCAGAATACCAGAGAAGAAGAAAGAAACAATGTCAAAAAAGGTAAGAAAGGGAAGAGCATGTTGAAATCTTATATTCTCAGTGATTGCGCTACATAACAATTCATATTTCATTGTTATTAATTTACTGAAGTACATGGCACCAAAAAAGAAAGATGGAAAAAGTAGACGTGAGACAGAATATGATGAGAATGGAGAACAGTTCAGCGTTTGAAGAAAAGTTAATTTGAATTGCTATATTCGTCCTAAGACTATTGACCTGCATACAATTCAGCGTAAAAAAGATATCAATGTGAGTCCCTGAAATTCTCAGTCACAAATTTTGTTTATAGAAGAGTTTGTCCTTCTGACTATTATGAGTATGTTTCATTCTAACATATAAGGACAACAACGTTCTATGCTATCTATAAAGAAAGCGAAAACAGTACACTATGTTCACAATTCAATTTTGTAAAAAAATAGAGTATATCTTGGTCGAGACGGTTATATAGAGGATGATGTATTATCTTATGATGTATTTGACGAAAATACGTTCAATATTCATGAGCTATATGTTTAAATTTGATTTAGATCTCTAGATTTAATAGAAGTTTAATTCAGTTTTTACTGCTGAACATAAATCTGTTATTAATTTTGATAATAGAATGAATTCCAACCAAACAATATAATCATTTTGGAAACATGTCACTATTCCTATACCATACCCCTATTACATTCGGATATCTGTTTCGATCTGTTCTGACAACTTTTATTCAGGCTTTTATACACCATTCGATGTAGAATTGATCAGTGTATATAATGAACAAAGAAAATTCATGGAATCTTTTACAATATCAATGGCGTGTAGATGCTTCGACAACAACATTAGGAAGTGGATCTGTTGTACAACATACTCCAGTTGTAATAGGATAATACAAAACCATCTCCACCATTAGATCCTGATCGTATGTATATGCATCCCCACGTATTGGAAATCGTGAAATAGTTGGTTATGATTTAAAAGGCAAAACAGAATATTTTGATTTAGTTATGTTTCCTTGTCCTCCAGAAATTGCTAAATTAAGAAAAAAAGAAAAAGGTGATTGAAAACAATTATTAATTGATGAAAAAAAAACGGCGTAAGTTTATTTTTATAGATTTGGTTTTTTTGTATTAAGATTTTATTTTAGTTTATAGAGCAAGTTTTCCTCAAACATTTGAAGAATTTACAACTCCAACTGGTTTTTGAAAATGGGTTATTGCATTAGCAGGCTTAACTATGGCTTATGATGGATAGAGATGTATTGGTATGAATTTATTTCAAATTAAGAAATCGCTTTTTTTTTGTTTTAAACATGTAAATCATTTTAGCCTATAATTTTGACAAACCAGATAGTTTCACTGAAGAAAAATTGAAGAGACAGTTACAATATCATATTGCTGCTCGACAAGGTCCGATGAGAAGCTTTTCAGCTAATTGAGATTATCAAACTGTTTAGTCATTATTCTATTGGGTTTTTTCTTTTTATTTAAAATTAATGATAATGTAGAATTAGGCATCTGCAAAATCACTATTTTCCGGTCCCATCCCGGTGAAAATTTTTCTAGTTCCAGTCGCGGTCAAATTTTTCTCCTGGTTCCGGTCCTGGTTCCGGTCTTAAATAAAAGCCATGTATTGACTGTACATTATGACTTATTTAGTGAAAAAACTAGACAGGTTATTGGAAAATTCCGATCTTTGAACAGAAAATTAAGACATCACAGGAATCTTGTTCAGATTGTTGAAGGATTTCTGGTTTGCAAACAGCTCATCAAAAAAAAATAACAAATATCAAAATGTCTAGTCTGATCTAGTCTACCGCCTATTTCAAAATAAAAGGTTGGTGGATATTTTTTGAATAATTTTTGATAAAAGCACTGTAGAGACAAGGGAGAAACAGCAGACTTTGTACTTGAAGGTAATTTACACTACTTAAACGCACTTCGAGTTACTTTAAAGTACTTTTCTGTAATTTTAAAGTACTCTTTTGTAATTTTAAAGTGTTTTTCAAAGTACTCTCATATAATTTTAAAGTACTTTGATGTACTTCAAGTCTGCCGTTTCCCCCTTGTGCAGAGAGCTGCTGTTTTCACCGTTAATAACAGAAGATGGAGACTCATCGAACTATATATTACAGATGATCTGACCTAGTTTTATCATGGATTTCGATCAAAATTTTTGAAAATCAGCATATCTTGTCAAGTGCCTAAGGCCAATTTTCAATACTCAGGTAGCATTCGATCCACTAAATGAAGATCTATGAAACTACATAAGGTATAAACTTTCACGCTTACCCATTTAGGAGCTACAGGCGTTTTATGTGAAACTCTTAACCGATTTTTCTATAAATTTCTGTAAAAACTATCACTCTCTTAAGTTTTTCTTATTTTTAGAGAAACCGAGTTTCCTTTGATTTTTCAGAAAATTGATTTAGAGAACTTTAGACGACATCTTAAAGAAACCTATAATACGCCATTCGCTTCGTCATCATCTTCTCTTTGCAGCTGTGAAAGCCGTAGTTCTCTGAAGCGATTTTATCAGAAGTCATTGAAAAAATACTCACCCACTTTTTTTTTGTAATGGGCAATAACTCTTTGTAAAACAATACCGGGACCAGGTTGAATATATTGGTCACGGTCCCGGTCGAATGGATGGAAAAAGGCAGAAAGGAAAAATGTCGAAGACAAAAGTATGACATGAGGATGAACCAGTAAAGTTGAAGATGAAGGTCAGGAAGATTGGTACTTCAATACATTCTCATTTTCATCATTTACATCCGTCTACATATCTATTATTTTTGTTTTCGATATTTTTCTTTTCTGCCTTTTTTCACCATACCGATTAATCTTGCATGATATCCCAATTCTTGTTTTTTGACAAACGAGTTCTATATTTATGATACATTTTGAAAGTATTATCAAGACCTATGACTCAAGAATTATCTTCCACCACTAATGCACATCCATGAAGTTTTTTTCTGGTCGTGACGATATCTTTCATTAAAAAGTTTCGAGAAGGCATTCGGTAATTGTAGTTTCAAACACATACTCAGTTCAAATAGTAGTGAATAATTAGTATTCAATGAGTAACTATAGGAATATATAGCAATTGTTTTTTCTTTTGAGTTGCTTTAATCGTATGATAGTATGACGGAGGAAAAGACAGATAGTCGATCTCTCCTAATAGTATCAATGTCGTTCTATCCTAGTACGATATAATTACAACAGAGAAAAAGAAAATACCATTTCCTGTACATTTTTGCATGTCATCTGAAGAAGACAACTCCGATTGTTGAAACGTGGTAATAAAACTTTTATTCTAATAAATGATTGTTAAACTAATTTTAATTTATAATTAATTATCTTAATTGTTATTCAATTTGAATAAAAATATTAAAAATAACATCATGAGAACAAGTAAAAGGCAATTTATTCAATCATTTATATTTCAAAAATAAAGATAACCACATCAAAATCTTTACTTTATATTTTGCAATGACCACGAAATTCCAATTCTCGTTCATCGTCAGAAGACACATTATTATATATTACCAGAGATAAGTACTCATAAATTCTATTTTTCTGTGAGAGATTTTCTTCTATAATATCGTTTCATTCAAAAAAACAAGTAAACCAAAGGTATGATAGTAAAATAACTGTTGATTATTGAATGCTTGCTCCAGCAACATTGAAGTTTGAGAGTGCGAATAAAAATAACGTTGATATATAATTTTAAAATATTCAAAAATCAATTTTTAATTCATAAGTTTGAACAAAGTACTATTGATGAGAAAATCTTATAGGATCCAATATCGAAGAACAACTATTGTGGATTCCCTAATGTATATATATATATATCAACAATCTCAGAATATAATTCAAAAAAAGTGATAAAAAATGTCGAAAATGCAGACACAATCAGATAACTGCGAAGATCTAATTATAATATGGAATTGATATATAGATGTAGTATATGCATAGTCTATAAAAGCTGATATTTTTTATTCAATCATTTACAATCTTGATTTCTTCGATATGTTCTAGTATTGTGGGTGTGGGTGTGGGTGGGTGTGGGGTGGGTGTGAGTGTGGGTGGGTGTGGGTGTGGGTGGTGTGGGTGTGGGTGGGTGTGGGTGGTGTGGGTGTCGGTGTGGGTGTGTGGGGTGTGGGTGTGGGTGTGGGGTGTGGGTGTGTGTGGGTGTGGGTGGTGTGGGTGTGGGTGTGGGTGTGGGTGGGTGTGGGTGTGGGTGTGGGTGTGGGTGTGGGTGTGGGTGTGGGTGTGAGTGTGGCATTTTCTTCATCTACATCCAGCCCCAGCACGCACACCGACACACCCACACCCCACACCCACACCTACATCCTACCCACACCCACGCCCCATACACTCACAGCCGCACCCACGCACACCCTAACTATGCGAAAAAGAAGCAATTAATGTGTTCATTAAAATTTCAAATTATATTAGGGATCGATTATTTGAAAACATTCAGATCATTTTAGTCTCTGTAAAAAAACACTCACTTAATGACGGTTGAAAAAACTTTATTAATCGATATTATTTTGAATGTTATTAAATAATGAAATAATTGATTAGTTATAATCAAATGCATATTAGTTTCAGATAGGATTACTAAAAAATGTTCGAAATTCATTAAGAAAATAATTTCTTTTAAGAAATAGAACTGAGTTCTTTCTAATATAATAAAGTTCATTATCAAATTCTTTGTCCATATCTTTTTCAGTAATTAATTCTAGTTTCGATAATGATGATTGTGTCTCTATCGCACAACTAACATTAAGTAAATATTGAAAAATATGTTTTTTATCAAGTGAATCTATATAATCTTGATCAGATGATAAATTTTCAATAACATTTGAAATATGTTGATGTACTTCAAATAAACATATAACATGGACTTGTGCGAGTTGAACAAGTAATCGTAATATAAATGAAAAACGGGTAAATTCTATATTATTTAACATAAAATCTAAAATTTGAAATAATCGGTTGACAACATCTTGATCTGGTATTCGTTTAATATTATCTCATTCTTTATGAGCTACCGGTTACATATGATTGACATTAACTATCATGTGACTTAAATAAGGTCACAAGTTTTTATAAATATTAAATTTATTAAATTGATGAAGTTTAAATAAAATCCAAATTAGCAATAAACAATATTAATCAATAATTTTGAAAAAGTATAGCTATATTATTTCTTCTTTTGGTGTAATTTTTCTTGAAGGCATTCAGCTATCGAATGATTATTCTTGAATTTGCGAGGATGATGTGAATTGGCGTTTAGTCGGCATCCTTCTCTGATTCCTTGATGTCGAGTCTGCTGTATGATCGTCAAGAGTGCCACTTATATCCTTATCAATGTCTTCTTCTTTTTGAGATACCATTTTATGTTAGATCTGTTAATATTGATGTTATTAAAAAGTAACTCTAAGAAACTAAATACACATCTTAATGTATTTTAGATACGACCGGTATAGCAATGTTCTTGGTGTGAATACTATTTCTTTTGTCTCTTAACAATAACAAAACACTTCCTAATAACTGCTACGCAATTGAAAAAATGATTGACACTGATGATAGAAAAAAAATATTCATCGATTCTAGCATTCGCACTTTTTGCCATCTAATGTCCTTGAATAAATATTTGTTTTAGAATCTTTTTTACTACGCAATTCTATTATGAAATCTATGTTCTTCAAGGATTAATCATCATTGTCATGCATAAGCTAACATCAAACTTATTTAAAACAAATTTATATTGTTATCTACACAATGAAAAAAATAAAAAACGTCACTTTTTTTGCTTAGACTAAGTGCATTTGTTGATATATTCATAGAAGATTTTTTTTTTTCTATTAACCTTAAATAAAATGCCAAGTGTACTAGAAATTCCTACATGTGAATCATACTATTGTCGTCATTTTATTTCTTATTTGAATTGTGAGCCACACGAATATTCATTCCACAGTAGTCATGTTCTCTTACTTTTCCTTTTACTTTCTGACAGAAAAAAATTGAATAATATTTTTGTTTTGACCAGAAAGCGATGAATGACGTCTTTCCAGTTCTTTTTCCTTTACAAGTTCATATATAAATAGCTCTTACAATCTCAATTTATTTCCTTTGATAAAACAAACCAGTGTATACAACAAACTTTTCAAACAAATATGGGCTGTGGTTTTTCAC